GCAGGCATTTTCATCCCCCGTCGCCGCTTTGCGTATGTGTGAAAAATAAAACCAGCCCCGTCATTGGAGCTCCGACAGCAAAAGAAAACAAAGTAATTGAAAACAAACACAGCCAAAGGTAGAAAAATCCCCAAATTCAAAGAGTGTAATAAGTGAAAGATTTGGTGAATAAAGTCGGAAGGAGAGACTGGGAAATGAATGCAAAGGTAGGAAGGAAAAGTAGCAGTATTATGTAAAAATGAACGGTGAAATAATCCCCAGGAAAAGGAATGAATACTGAATCACGCGTTGTTTTCAGGTGTCAAAGCTTTGTGTCATTGTGACCGAGTTTCTGCCTGTTCTGTTCTTGTCACTGGTTCTTTGTGTCAAGCTATCCCTGTACCCGGAATGAAATATTTGTGCTTCCGAGAGCCATCGAATGCTAGTCAAACGGTTTCACTGGCGAATCTGAATGCCCGTTTACGGGACATTGTCCTGCAATGAATTGCACGGCTTATGAGATTATTGCAATCCCAGAAACACTCATTGGATGTAGGACTGACGTTTCCGCTGGCAAGAACATTGACGTATTTGTGTTTGCAGTTGCACTTTCAAGTGATGGCGTTGTGACATTTCTAACAATCAACTCGTTGACGTGACTCGAAGCCACGTCATCGGACGTACGAGGGTGGTCGCTTTAGAACCACAGGCGAGCGGTTGGGGGGGGGGGGGGGGACGACTGAGGGCTAATGACAGACTTCTGGGCCGTTTACACTAATTCAGGCTCGGTCTCACTGATCGATCATTTATGTTTCTTCCTGCCAGCGAAGGCAAATTTCTCATAAAAATACGAGAGTTTTCCACATGAAAACCTAAAAAGGTATTTTGTAACCTAGGTTTTCTTCGGATAGATGGGTAGCATCAATCCAGAGATCACAGCTGGTGCGAGTCGAATGAATATTTTACCCCAGCTATTCAGGCGTGTGTGGGAATGTGCAGGCACATAGATAGGTTGGTTTTATACTGCACCTGTGGAAAGCAGGGGTGATCTCTCGCCTATAGCCCTAGGTAACGAGTAAAATGGAAGATACTGGAAACCCCTCAATTCCCGGCACGGTAACTATAGCTTTCGATTTTTATGTTGTCTAGTGTGTTCTTTTATCTTTCTACTTCTTTCTACGATTGCCGTTCACAATACTTTCTGTTACTTGATTAAACCCATAAATGGGGAGATGAAGCAGGGGGAAGTGTCTGGGCAGTGTGGGCGACATTCGTGACTCAGGTGGGGGGTTGGGGGAGACAAGGTGCAAGTCGAGCAGTTAAACAAACGACAACGGGTAACATCTGTACTGAAACTTTCCCATGTCGGCTCCGGGGTCCCATTTGAGGGTGGGGGGGGGGGGAGAAGAATAGACCCGCTGCTTCCACATCAAGCATGTCGACTAATTGGGGACTTCTTCTTCTCTTCGTCTTATTCTGTTTCTTGTTGTTGTTGTTTTTGTTGTTGTTGTTGTTGTTGTTGTTGTTGTTGTTGTTGTTGTTGTTGTTGTTGTTGTTCTTCTTCTTCTTCTTCTTCTTCTTCTTCTTCTTCTTCTTCTTCTGCTTCTTCTCGTCCTTTGTTTTCTGCGTTCGAATTTAAATTGGTGTTTGGCAAGATCTGTTGTTGTTTACAGCTAGGCTGCGATATCTGAGTGTTTCAGTCCAACACTTTCGATGTCACCAAATCATTACTTAGTCGCATTTTACTACACATGTTTCTGATTTTCCTCCCAAAATCCGGCGACGGAAACCACAAGGAGATGATCACTAATTAAGACATACTGTCCGGAAGATGGCACCAGCCTTGACAGCTGTCAGTAGCAAAGAACTTTGGCGCTAGATAAGACCTGCCTAGCCAGATCTGAAGTATCCATATGTTTAACGGCACGAGAAAGTCCACAACACCAGATGGACATTGTTTGGATATCCCCGGGATACTAATGGAACAAGGTGACCAAGTGTGTCACTTCTGTGGGCGTCACACTAGCGACCTTGACATCCACACAACGGGGGATGCCATTAGTGGGTCTTTTGTGGTGTGTGGCGTTGGTTCGTCATTTCCCGTGATCGTGGTCTCAGATCAGAAAGCCAGTTCTTTGAATCCTTTAGTAAATAGTGAGTTTTCATTTTACCTCTTTATTTCGCACCTTTCTGTGGTTGTATTTTACTTTACATACATCTGAAGTAATAGAAACAGCATTACTTCCTAGTCACGAATCTTCATTCCTGATTACTTAACTCTGAATTGATGTTACTCTAAACAATACATTCTTGGGTGTTTTTTTTTTTAAATAACCCTTTTTCACGCTTTCAGGCATTTGAGGCATATAGGGCTGGCACTTTATTTTATAGATCAATCAGCACTTAGTGGTCGATGTGATTAGAATCATATCGGTCGCCTTTACTTCTCATGACGTTACCAGATACTTATTTAAGACTGAGTCCACCTTGGAGCCAAGGTCATTTTGAAAAGTCCAGCTCTGTCAGGGCCTGGTCTGATTGTTCTTTTCTGTCCAAACGCCTTTTAACATGTTGTTCTTGCAGTCTGGTAATGGCTAAAGATTCACAGTCACTTGGTTCTCACAAACTTCTTACCTCACGTAGAGTATTCAGTCTATCAGCCTTGTACTTGGCAAGTCCACCAATTACAGCAGACTTACCTGCAAGCCTATCAGCTTGCTCATTTCCTTGCACGCCCGCATGTCCAAGCATGAAAATGAAACTGACCTTTGTCAGCTCTGACCGCCTCAGAGACACCAACCATCTCAGAGACACCAGCCACCTCAGAGACACCAACCACCTCAGAGACACCAGCCACCTCAGAGACATCAACCACCTCAGAGACACCAGCCACCTCAGAGACACCAACCACCTCAGAGACACCAGCCACCTCAGAGACACCAACCACCTCAGAGACACCAACCACCTCAGAGACACCAACCACCTCAGAGACACCAGCCACCTCAGAGACACCAGCCACCTCAGAGACACCAGCCACCCCAGAGACACCAGCCATCTCATAGACACCAACCACATCAGAGACACTAGCCACCTCAGAGACACCAGCCACCTCAGAGAAACTAACCACCTCAGAGACACTAGCCACCTCAGAGACACTAGCCACCCCAGAGACACCAGCCACCTCAGAGACACCAGCCACCTCAGAGACACCAGCCACCTCAGAGACACCAGCCACCTCAGAGACACCAGCCACCTCAGAGACACTAGCCACCTCAGAGACACCAGCCACCTCAGAGACACCAGCCACCTCAGAGACACCAGCCACCTCAGAGACACCAGCCACCTCAGAGACACCAGCCACCTCAGAGACACCAGCCACCTCAGAGATACCAACCACATCAGAGATACCAACCACCTCAGAGATACCAACCACCTCAGAGATACCAACCACCTCAGAGATACCAACCACCTCAGAGACACCAGCTACCTCAGAGATACCAACCACCTCAGAGATACCAACCACCTCAGAGATACCGACCACCTCAGAGACACCGACCACCTCAGAGATACCAACCACCTCAGAGACACCAGCCACCTCAAAGACACCAGCCATCTCATAGACACCAACCACATCAGAGACACTAGCCACCTCAGAGACACCAGCCACCTTAGAGACACTAGCCACCTCAGAGACACCAGCCACCTCAGAGACACTAGCCACCTCAGAGACACCAGCCACCTCAGAGACACCAGCCACCTCAGAGACACCAGCCACCTCAGAGACACCAGCAACCTCAGAGACACCAGCCACCTCAGAGACACTAGCCACCTCAGAGACACCAGCCACCTCAGAGACACCAGCCACCTCAGAGACACCAGCCACCTCAGAGACACCAGCCACCTCAGAGACACCAGCCACCTCAGAGACACCAACCACCTCAGAGACACCAGCCACCTCAGAGACACCAACGTTCTCAGAGACACCAACCACCTCAGAGACACCAACCACTCTAGAGACACCAACCACCTCAGAGACATCAACCACCTCAGAGACACCAACCACTCTAGAGACACCAACGTTCTCAGAGACACCAACGTTCTCAGAGACACCAACCACCTCAGAGACACCAACCACCTCAGAGACACCAACCACCTCAGAGACACCAAACACCTCAGAGACACCAGACACCTCAGAGACACCAGCCACCTCAGAGATACCAACCACCTCAGAGATACCAACCACCTCAGAGACACCAACCACCTCAGAGACACCAACCATCTCAGAGACACCAACCACCTCAGAGACACCAGCCACCTCAGAGATACCAACCACCTCAGAGATACCAACCATCTCAGAGACACCAGCCACCTCAGAGACACCAACCATCTCAGAGACACCAACCACCTCAAAGACACCAACCACCTCATAGATACCAACCACCTCAGAGACACCAACCATCTCAGAAACACCAACCATCTCAGAGACATCAGCCACCTCAGAGACACCAACCACCTCAGAGACACCAACGATCTCAGAGACACCAACCACCTCAGAGTCACCAACCACCTCAGAGTCACCAACCACCTCAGAGACACCAACCACCTCAGAGATACCAACCACCTCAGAGATACCAACCATCTCAGAGACACCAACCATCTCAGAGACACCAACCACCTCAGAGACACCAACCATCTCAGAGACACCAGACACTTGTCTGCAGACCCAACATATACCATAAATCACCTATGATGCCGATTTTACATTTATTTTGTAGTTTCAACCCCCCCCCCCCCCCACCCCCCTTTTCCACTCCCGTCAAAAAAAGCCTAATAAGCCTGCTTCGACGCATGTACGAGAAAATATGCACAAGACACGCAAACACAAAACGCCTACACGTCTCACATACTAATGTACGTTAGTGCCCCTTCAACGCTCTGCTGCACGCTCCAAACAACAACATAAGACACAAGAGATCTTCCCCTACTTAAATTTACATTTAAATAGATTAATTGACGTATCTAAGTTTACATAGTTCTTGGGCCAATTTGCATTCGCTTTCAAAATCTTCCCCTTGAAACTATTGAGGATTTAATGTAAGCAGTCTTCCGTCGATGTATTTATCTTGTGGATTGTGTCCAGTTTTTGACAAAACGCTACCGTAATGGAAAATAATGTCTGAAGCGCGTTAAAATGTTAAGTTTCTCCTTCTGGGCTGTGCCTGATGTTAATTTCACATACGAAGGGAGATCGAGAGGACGGGTTTACTATTACGTGAGTGGCTTTACATATGTTGATTGGGGAGCGGCTGACCGAATGGTTAGTGACTTAGGACTCTGTTGTGGGAGACACCGGCTCGAATCCTCGGTAAGGTTGGGGAATTTTTTTTTTTGGGGGGGGGGGGGAATTAAAAAATAATCATAACCTGCACAGTCCATGGCGACAGCACTAACCATGCGGCCCTAAACCACCAGGATCAAAGATACTCCCCCCCCCTCCCCCACCAATCCCATTTTTGTGGGGGTGGGGTGCCGGCCCAGAAAACCAAGAATCATTGCCCCTCAACTAGAATGTCGTAAAAAACGACTAATTAGGGATGTTCCTTTCGAAGTCATGGTACATCTGCCGGAGCATGGTATCAATGGTCTGCATACGAATAAGCCAGATACGTAAAACGGATGTGCGCGCAAAACTGACCTACTAGAACTAGGCCAAAGTCAAGCAGTGGACGAACACTCCTAAATTTCCACCGGACTTTACAGCCGGTGCACACGAAACAAAAAAAAAGGAAGGTTCTTAGATTTCGATTTTTTTAAACCCCTTTGTCTCACAAAGGAGAATAGATCCTAGACCATCTACTGCAGACTTGACCTACTCTCATCCATTGTCTGCAAATCACTCCTTGTCCTCTCCATATATTTATCTCAGTTCTCCATCTTCTTCTCTGTGTGTTTCATATTTCTTTCCCGTTATTTATTTGGCTTCGTGCATCTCTTCCTCATAATTCGATGGCTAAAGTTTCTTACGGGATCGTTTACCCATGACATATTTGTATCTCCGTGTTTCCCAAGTATAAACATGCCTAAACGGAACAAGTGCTTCAGATAGGCCTTTACGGTACTTGCTAACCTCTGACCGCTCCCTATGTTACATATCCAACTACAGGCTCAACCAACGACCGACTAAAGAAATAAATAAAATAACATAACAATAAACAAAACTAAACACATCATCATCATCATCATGTAGCAGGTCCTTTGCAGAACGTCGCTCTCATCACAGTCTGTCTGAAAGAAACTCGGTCTCTGGCCAGTTCTCCCGCCTCATGTACTTTCACACTCAAGGAGTCTCTTATATCCTGTGCCCATCTTCGTGTCGGTCGGCCCCTGCCCCTCCTTCCTGGTACCATGCTTTCTGCTATAATTTTTTCCAATCCGTCGTGGCGCTTGTTATGACCAAAATATTTCAGCTTTTGAGAAAGGATGATGTTTATTAACAAATCTTTCTTGATGTTCAGATCTTTAAAGATGTCAATATTTCTCATCTTCTTTGTCCAAGATATTCTGAGAATCTTTCAAACTGAACACACATGAGTCAAATATGTCAGCCATCTTTCGTCAGTCTTTTAAAATGAAATGGCCATATTTTGTAGCCAGGCCTTGCCTTCAGCTAGACATGCCCAACCCTAGCTTTAGTTCACCCCCTCGAGTGCTAGAGGTTCCGGGTTCAATCCCCGGTAAGGGCTGGGATTTTTTCACGTGGACTTGGACTTCTAGTAATTCCCTCTGGTCTCTGGGTAGTAAGATCGGACGCCAGTGTGCATTGTTGCGCACGTAAAAAAAATCTCTTGGCAGTTGGAAATGGATAAGAGAAGCCTAACGGCGCTGCCCGGGCAAAATTTGGAGTTTGAAATCTACCCAAAGTATTTCAGGATCATAGCCGGTGCTACAGAGCCTGTGCACTGTGCTGAGCTTTTTTGGACTCGGACTTGAGTTAGAAGAGGAGCAGAGCACTTATGGATTACACCCGTATGCCATGATGTTGATCCGTTGTTCAAAACCTCAAACTTCAAACTCCATAACTGCCTCGATGCATTGTTACTATTCTGCTACATCAAGAATCCCGTTTACACATGAGCGGGAGTTCAACTTACCATTCGTTAAGTCGTTATCCTGTCTACTGCATGCATGAGAATTTATGTCCTTGTTATCCAGTTTCTAATTATGGTGGTAATGCTAACGAAGATGCCACTTCATTACCTTATCCGTTCTGATGAGAATAGATGATATCATGTAATGTGCCATGCCGAGCGACACAAAGATCACATTTCTTCACGTACATCCAGTCCCCGCTTTTGGGAAAATCTCACCTGCTGATTATCTTCCATGTCAAGCTGCCAATCCATTCCAGCATCATATCATTGTTTCCTGGGGTTCCAAGCACATGGAATTTTCCAGCTGTCACAATGTTAGCTCTTATCTGAAGTCACGGAAAGTAGAAAATAAAGTCATAATGGAATGTAAGATCTGAACCACCTCACAAGGCCAAGATGGTTGCTAGTGCTTTCCTACGTATTTTCAAGCCAATAAATTCCCTCTTTGGTTTCCGCACCGTATGCTGGAGAGAAATAAGTATTGCCCACTGTTTTTAATTGTACCTTGGCTTAGCCAGGGCGTGCTCGGTCGATCACAAACACGGCAATTATTTCGTTTAAAAAAAAAAGAAGAAAAAGAAAGGGGGAAAAAAAGAAAGAAAAGAATTGAAACAGCAAAAATCCCAGGTTAACTTTAGATTGCAATTCTCAAGGAAGAAATTTGTTAGCTAGCAATGAACAAAGTAATAGCTTCGTAATAGAGCCTCCTAGCAAAGACACGATAAGAAAATAAACACTGATAGCAGCTAGCGATAAAGCCATCAGATTAAAAGATAAATACAGATTGTAGAACTAATTATCTTGGCTACGTCGCGGTCTCTGATTTAATTAATTGACTTGCGGATCAGGCTGTGGCATGCACCGTCGCTCGTGGTGATGAAGAAAGGGAAAACCCTGGTGGCTCCAAGAATGCCAGCCTCACTAATTGAAGGCTGGGTTTGGATCTTTGGTTTCCTGCAAAAAGTCGGTAATGCCGTAATCTGACCTGGTTTTTGTAAGGGCAATAGACCTGACACATTCTTGATGTAGCGTGGAGCGGTGGGGAGCGAAGTTCCCTGATCTGGCAGCCTTCTCCGGGGGGTTCAAAGTTACGCCTGTGTCTGATAATTATGACACATTTCTAAAATTCTACATGTGAGGATCTGGGATCGTGGACACACGGCAAGACATAGACACACAGCAACTCATAGTCAGAGAGCAACACATAGACAAGCGACAACAAAGCGACGTTCAAGTTTGACAAACAATGCATACAAAACGAAATATTACATAACTTTTTCATTCGTAATCGTTTGTCTGACTAGCTGGCTGATTGGCTGACTGAATGTCTGTCTGTCTATCCGTACGTCTGGTTGGCAGTCTGTCTGGCTGACTGGCTGTTGGATTGATCACTAAATTGACAACTCTTTGAAAATAAAGAACGTTCGTTCGTTCGTTGGTTCTATCTGCCTATCAGCCAGTGTCTCTCTCTTTCTCTCTCTCTCTTCCTCTCTCTCTCTTCCTCTCTCTCTCTCTCTCTCTCTCTCTCTCTCTCTCTCTCTCTTTCTTTCTCTCTCTCTCTCTTTCTCTCTCTATATCTCCCCCTATCTGTTCTCTCTCCTTTTCTCCCCCTGTCTGCGTGAGTCTTTATTTTGCATAGCTCTCTTTATTCACCTGTGTTCGTCCGTCTGTCCACCCGTCTCATCTCGGCTATCTGGATACTGTGTTTCTTCTGTCTATCCAAACCCATCATTCAACCAACCTTCCTCTGTCTATCTCTGTCTGACCTCCATTGATCCCTGTCTGTCAATAGGTTAGTTTTTAAAGGGAAGAAGAATGAAGACAAAACAAACCGCTTACATCGGCGTCTCTAGAACACAAACATAGCTCTGTGTAAACAGACAGGAAATATATTTAATAGCTCCCATAAAAAACCCGTCTCGGTAGAAATTAAAGAGATAAAACCGAGAGACAACCACAAGACCATCTAACAAGGAAACGTTACGACCACGCTCAGCAGGGATTTGAAGAGTTGAATTGAGTCCTAGAGGCGACCGTTTGACCTAATCAGCAGTCACCGAATAAGATTAGGAACGTTGGGATAAATGTATCCTAAGTAGCTTTGGGCTTTCTTTGTGTGAGGTGTTGGTTGGTCTGGGTGTTTATTTGATGGCAATATGTTGACTTAAAATCTTCTAGTACGAATAAAGCATTTCAGAACAAAGAAGGTTTCACCAGTATATTAGCTGTGAAGCTGCCTTAACAGTATTATTATTTTTATTTCTTCTTCTTCTTCTTCTTCTTCTTCTTCTTCTTCTTCTTCTTCTTCTTCTTCTTCTTCTTCTTCTTCTTCTTCTTCTTCTTCTTCTTCTTCTTCTTCTTCTTCTTCTTCTTCTTCTTCCTTCTCCTTCTCCTTCTTCTCATCTTTATCCTCCTCCTCGTCATCTTTGTCTCCTTCTTCTTCGTTTACCTGCTTTATGACCCCATCCTTATCTGAGGTTGGGGCTTCAAAATAACCAAAAATTTGCATCACACATAAGGACGACGTGGATAGAAAGTTGCGAGAAATAATTGTATTCACAAACTGCAACTTTTCTTTGCCGAATTCCGCAATCACAAATGAGACCAGCCATAAATTAACGAATGAAACAAATTCTCGCAGCTCCAGCCTGCCTGTCAGCAATCAATATTCCATTCTTCCTTCCTCCCTTCCGTCACCCCGGGGATGCCACCCCCCACGGATGGATGGATGCCTCTGCTTTATCAGAGAGCGGCTTTGATTTCTCCGCCTGTCAGATAAACCAGCAGGTGTTTCTTGCTCTGGGGACCAAGTGAGAAGATCAACAAGCTGATGTGTCAAGAATACGTGGTAATCAGCCATCGGAGCCAGACTTTTTTACAGGGCAGGTATCCCGCTGAAGACGCTGGCCGGAGGAAGGCTGTTGCTGTTATTATTGTTCCTCGTCGTCATGGTCATTATTATCATCATTACCACCATCAGCATCATGATTATCGTCATCACTATCATCATCATTGTCTTTATTATCATTATCATCAGTCAATATTATCATCATTATCGTAATCATTATTATTATCCTTATGATTGTCAGCATCATCATTATTGTTAGCAATTAATATCAACTGTATAATTATTATCATCATAATCATTGTCATCATAATTATCATTTTCATCATAATCATCGTAATAATAATTATACTTACCATCGTAATTCTCATCATCATTATCATCGTTATCATCACAATTATCATCATGATAACATCATAGACATCATCATCGTCGTCGTGATCGTCACGAAGTCCAAGGTGTTATTGTCTAAGCTGCTCGATTAAGTGCTTGGTGCAACACTGTGAGTTTTATGATTCGTGTGAATGCCTTTCGTGGGCGCCTCCTAATCGTTTATTCATTAAATTTTAAATATGACAGCTTTGCCACGTGTGGGTTCCTGGGCCTCTGTGTGGGTTCCTGGGCCTCTGTGTGGGTTCCTGGGCCTCTGTGTGGTTTCCTGGGCCTCTGTGTGGGTTCCGGGGCCTCTGTGTGGGTTCCTGGGCCTCTGTGTGGGTTCCTGGGCCTCTGTGTTGGTTCCTGGGCCTCTGTGTGGGTTCCTGGGCCTCTGTGTGGGTTCCTGGGCCTCTGTGTGGGTTCCGGGGCCTCTTTGTGGGGGGGGGGGTCGGGGTGAGCTGGTCATAAGCATGTCATAAGAATCGACTAATTAGGGATGTTTCTTTCGAAGTCGAAGTGCATCTTCTTGAGAAGCGAAAAACCAGCAGCATGTAAAACAAATGAGCCAGATCTGTAAAACGGATGTGCACACAAATTTCAAGTTTTTGAAACAAGACCAGGGTCCAAAAGCGAACAAGGAACAACCAGAACTTTCCATGGGAATTTTACAGCTAAGGAACGCTAAGAAACTAGGACAAAGACAATTTAATTTCCTGTATTGTTGCCCCCCCCCCCCCTTTCTCTCCCCTACTCCATCTTTCCCCTCCCCCAGCCGTACAATTATCTATTTTCTGTTGTTTTTTTACCCGCAACTCATCTGATTTCGTACCGTTTGGTCTCTAAAATATAGGACTAGCCCTATATGCCCAATATGCATGAAGGTGTGGGGAAAGAGTCCTTTCCTTCAAAGTAAAGCTTCCTTTCCCATGCCTTCAGGCATATTGGGCATATAGGGCTAGGCCTTTATTTTCATAGACCAAACGGCACTTGGTTGGTGATGTGGTCAACATCACGTCGGCCGCCTTTACTTCCCAGAAATGCACATTGTCCTCACTCAAGGCTGGGTCGACCTGAGAGTCAATGTCATTTTTGAATGTCTTTTACTTTACTTACTTAACCTAATCCGATTTCAACAGAAATCTACCAAGTCTTTCTAGGGGAAACTGGTTATGTTCACACGACCCCTCCCATAATAGATGGGGCCTCGGAACCCGCCCGGGTTAATTACCTAGCAATATTTATAGTTTTGGACTCTCACTCAGTCACTGAGCAAAAAGATTGGAGCTTTTGAATTGAAATGTTATAGAAAACTTCTTAGAATACCATGGATCAGGAAGAGGAAAAACATCGAAATTCTGAACGAGTTGAACATCAAGGAGAACTGGCTCATAAACAGCATCCTGTCCCGAAAGTTGAAGTATTTTGGCCACATCAAGTGTCATGGTGGCTTGGAAAAGTCGGTGATGGAAGATGCAGTTTGTGGAAGGCGAGGCAGGGGCTGACCACAGCGAAGATGGATACAGCACATTAAGGATGCATTGGCATTAAAAGCACATAGGGCTGGAGAGCTGGCTATCAAATCAAAAGGGATACTTTCAGTCGTGCTGTGAAGAGAGCGACGTTCTGTAAAGGACTTGATGATTGATGATGATTTACAGTGATATGTTTCTAATTATTTCTCTTATATCGGTGTCTTTCAGGGATCGAAGACAAGTCGGAAGTTCAGCTGAGACGGCCCAAGAAGGAGGAGATCACTGCCGGAGTGGACATCATCCTCAAGTGCCAGGTGTCCGGCAACCCGGAGCCAACCATCTTATGGTACCACAACAAATTCAG